CCTGCTACAAGGGGCGAGTTTTTCACAGTAATGGGAGGCGCACAGAGTAAGGAAAGTTAAGGTGAAGATTAAAGGTAGGAAATCGTTCTTGTTCTCCAGGTTGAATTTTATTCAGGGGCCGTAAAGGGTAAAGGGTACTACTCCCCCTGCTTAATAAGCGCATTCTTGTGGTTGGTGACTCTCAGGTAAAATATATTGACCGTGCTTTTTTAATAGGAATAAGAAGATGAGAGATAGAGGTTTTTCTTCCCTGGAGTGGTTTGGGGACATTGTCAACAGGCTGGATAATATCATGCAGGTAATGGGAAAAAAAGCCCATTTCAGTCTCAGGCTGGGGGAATGATATTTGGGGAAAGGGGAGGAAGAAGAGCTGTAGTAAGTCAGGTCAGCTATAGTTTCTTAAGTCTAAAGGGGGGGATCCCCAAACATTGTGCATCTTGCCTAGAAGTGGGAGTAAAGGGGAAAGTTTGTCTGGGCAATTGGTGTAAATGTGGCTAGACAGATACTGCAGGAATTGCAAATCCCATTCATTGAAACTGGAAAAAATTTTAGGCAAACATGTATTATGCAAGGGATGGGGTAAAACTCTCTGGGCAGGGGGTGGTAGACTTGCAGACTCGATTGAGAAAGGCCTTGGGAAAGCCCATGATTTTAAATGATGGAAGATAGAGGATGGGTGTGTGTGGGGAAAAAAGCAGGGTTTCAAACTAGGGTTGGAAAAAGTAAAGTATAAAAAGGGATTTGCATGAAGTTATAAAAAAAGACAATAGAACAGGTCAAACAAACAAAAAGGGGGCGCAGAGGGCAGCAAGGATAGCTCCCCTTAAGGTTTTTACTAAAAGCAGGAGGTAAAAAATAAAATAGATGAGCTAAAATTAATTCAAGTGCAGGAAAATAGTATTATTGTATAACAGAGACCTGGTCAAACTGAAAGAAAAGGGATGCCTCTGAAAGTCACATCAAGGGTTAATTTTCCACACTGCAGGGTAAAAAGGAAAGGGGGTGGAGTAGCGATGTATGTCAGAAAAACTTAATTTGTTGTGTTTAAAAAGATATTAAATTGAAGGTCAGCCACGAATTGTTTGGTTACAGCTTCTCGAGGGCCGAGAAAAAAAAAAAATTTTTTGGGTTGATTTACAGGGCCCAAATCTTGATGGGAGTGCAGTAAACTTCTATGGGACGAATTGTAAGGGGTTACATACGAAAATGGGTTTGCTAAAAAGGGGATTTCAAATTAGACAGATTGACTGGGCAAATTTTACGGAAATTTGGTGGGTGACTTTTTGACACGATCCGGAGTTTTTTAAAAAAAGTTTGTGGGCAAAACCCAAATGGGGGAAATAACCTCCTTGACTTTGGGTTTTTGCCCGTAGGGAAACACTAATTAATAAACTTTAGGTTAAAGATGAGTTGGGGAGAGTGATCACAAATCCTCAGTTTTAATATTTTTCATGGAAATTCCCCCAATAAAGGCAATAAATTCCGTCCCTGATTTCGCTTGGCTGATTTTTAGGACTGAAGAATTACTTAGGTGGGCTGAATGGAAAGACCTGATAAGGGTAGGTAGGTGGTGATGGTTGCCGATATGTGCTTTCCAGGGCATAGTTCTAGTGCTCAGTCAAATTTTTTTTTTTTCCAAAAAGGGAAAACAGATCAAACAAAAATGATCCCCAAAAGGATGAAAAAATAGTTAAAATTCTGATGGTCAAAAGGAGGCAAAATAGGGAAAACAAAAGAGGGGAGGGGCAATTAAAAAATGATATTTCAGTTTTAAAAAGAGAAAAAAAAGGGTTTTAGAAAAGCAAAAAGAGATTATGAGGTTTAAAATTTCAAAAAAATCGAAGACAACCCCAAAAAGGTTTTTCAGGTATACGAATAAAATCAGGGAAAGATAGGCCCACTCAAAGTTTCCCCGGGGAGTCATGGGCATGATAAGGAAATGTTAGAACTTTTAAAAATACTTCCCCTCAGTTTTTTTCACAGGGGATACCCGCGATATTCCCGTAAAGATAAATTATTGAACAGGCGATAATAAACTGTGCACTATTGGGTCACAAGTGACAGGGTCCTTAGGCAAATAGAAAAATTTAAAAAACCCAAACAAATCCCCAGGCCCGATGAAGTATGCAAGGGTTTAAGGAATGTAAAGAGGAGCTTAGCACACTTTGGCTAATTTTTCAAATATCATACAAATGGATGGGCAGAAAAGTGGAAAATGGCAAATGTAAACCCATTTTCAAACAGGTGACGGCCCTTTAGCTTCGAACTATAGACCAAAAGCCAACCCCATAGGGGGAAAAATTTATGGAATCAATAATGCCGAGGCTTTCGTAGCCTTTGAAAAAGAAAAATAAATTAAATCAACGAATTCAGCAGGGTTTTTTACAAAGGGGCTTTCCCTCCCTTAGAATTTTTTAAATTTTTTTTCATAAGGTATTTGAGGAGGTTTAAACATGGTAATGAATATGAATTGTGTTATGGACTTTAGTTTTTTAAGGCTTTTGCGGGTCCCACATCAGAGATATTGGGAAAATTAAAGCACATGGAAAAGGGGAGAAATTTTTTCCTGGATGAGGCATGGTTGACAAATAGGCAGCAGAGAGTTTGCATAAATGGGGAGAAATCAGGTTGGGGGAAACGTCACGAGCGGTGTTTTCCCCAGGGGTCAGTGTTGGGCCCCCCGCGTTCACAATCTCATAAAGAATAGTGAGGGCATAAAGAGCGACATCGGCAAGTTTCGATGACCCAAAAATAGGCCGTCGAATTTTCTGACGAGGACATTCGAGCCTCCAGGGAAAATTGAATAGATGATGCAGTGGGGCAGAAGTGGAGATGCGTTTAATATAGACAAATGCAAAGTTCAAAAGTTGGCAGGACAAAAAACCTGCCCCATATAAAATAAAAAAATGTAGATTTAATTTACGGATTGCGAAAAAAAATTTGGAGTTTGGTTAGCATAATCGAAACCAAGACAACAGTGCATAAGTGTTTGCAAAAAAGCTATAGAATCCTTGGCTTTTTTAAAAAGAAGCATAAATTTTTGGGAGCCCTCGGTTTTTGTTTTAAACTCTATAACCCTTGGTTGGGCCCTCATTTAGATTTTGTGCACAGTTTGGTCCCCGTATTACAGAATGGATTTTAAATTTTTGGGAAAAAATGTAAAAAAGGAGGAGGGAAAAAAGGTTGATCCCGGGTATCGGGAAACCTTCCCAAATGAGGATAGTCTAAGGGCCCTGAAATGCATCTCTAGAAAGACGTATTTTTAAAGGGGGGAGTTTTTGATTGAGGTGTATAAAGGGGAAGACGGAATAAAAAAAGGGGATGTAAATAGTGTGCTGAAAATTTTCTACCCTGCAGGACTCCGAGAAATGGTTTTTAATTTGGAAAAAAATTCAGATTCAGGAAGGATATGGGAAAAGTACTGGTTTGGTAATAGATTTGGGTTGGATGAGTGGAAAAAAACCCCCAAGTACCGTTTAAGGCCAGAACGTTTTTGTAGTTTTTAAAAATGGGTTTGGGGTAAATACAGGGAGTAGATGTGGGGGGGGTTGTGAGTTTAGACCTGATAGTTTGTGAAAACAGGTGGGTTTTCCCCCGTGTTCCCCCTTAAAGGTCAATGGGCCGGGATGATGGGTTTGGGGTGCTTTGGTTTAAGGGTAGGAGATTGGCCTCCCCTGCATGGGCCAGTAGGCCTTCTGCAGTTTTCCCTTCGTTCTTAGGGTTCTTATGTTTTTAAAAATTGTTTTGAATTTTAATTTTTTCAGGTTTCAATTTTTTTTTTTTTAAAAAAGCTTTTTAAATTAAAATAAAGGTATTAGGGGGAGTGTTGGAAATTTAGCCCCTGTATAGTCCTTTTTGGGTTTTGCGCTTCTTTTTTTTTTAAATTTTTTAATGGATAATTTTGTTTCATGTTTAAAATGAATGGGAAAATTTTTCAGACTGTCATTTTTGCAAAATATATCAAGGGGGGAAAATAGCGAAAAAAAAATTTGTTTTTCTTGTATTGTGTGGTTGGAATATTTTTTATACCCTATTTCGTTTTAATTTTTTTCGAGGGTTTTTCCCTATTTGGAGTACATAATTGAAATTTTTTTCAATTTTTTTGAATTTTTATATTTTTTCTGCCCGCCCCCTTTTAAAAATTTGGTTGATGTCCCCTTGGAAACATGAAGTATTCCTTTGGGTGACACTATCAGCAAATTCGGGGGGGTCATCCGCAAAAAAAAGACACGGTGCTGTTTGGTTCGTCTCTCTCTCTTCGGATAATGAGAACCTTTTTAAACTGGGACACCCCAAGCCCATGATGATTCTCTTCAAATCGTTTGTTCTCTCTAGGCTGGAATACTGCTGTACACTAACTGCCCCTTTCAAGGCTGGCGAAATTGCAGACCTTGAGAATATTCAGAGAACTTTCATTGCATATATAAGTATAATAAAGCACCTAAATTACTGAGAACGGTTGAAGTCCCTTGATTTGCACTTCCTGGGACGTAGGCGAGACCGATACATGATAATATACACTTGGAAAATCCTAGAGGGACTAGTCCCAAATCTGCACACGAAAATCACTCCCTACGAAAGCAAAAGACTCGGCAGGAGATGGAACATCCCCCAAATGAAAAGCAGGGACCCCACGAGTACACTGAGAGACAACACAGTAAGTATCCAGTTCACTATGAATATTCACATCTTAATGTGCTCTGCTGTCTTCCAGTCAAAGCGCTAAACTCATAGGGGTCATACAGCACTGCAAGATGGAATGTGCTAAACATGAAATATACGAAGATCAGAGATTAGTGAGGGTTAGGAGTATGTGAGAGGCAGAGTTAGCTAAGGTAATGGGACGTGCTAAAGGAAAAATATAATCAAAGGTGTAATAAAGTTGTTGCTGACAAAAAAGTTAGAGGGAGTTTGTATGAAAGGCGGCGCTGTCCAGCAGTGGCGAAGGCGGAAGTAGAATTCTGCTAGCCTTCTGATAAACAGGACAAGTCTGTGAGTACTTGACAGTTCTCACTGAACGGTGCGGAGCGTTTCTCCATAAGATACCCATGAATGAGATGTGTGTCTTCAGCATGCAACTGACCTGTTTTAACCATGATATCTGTTGACTCTGTGGTAGTACTTGGATGAAGATGACACGTGTTAAGTTTTTTATTAAATAATTCTATATTCTATCAAGCACTATCACTTGGGTCGAGGCAATAGAAGAAAGTGGTCTCATTAACTTATTAAGCTCTGGAGGCATCCTACGAATTAGCTGACTGGTGGGGGACCTCAGCCGTCTAACAATGTTTGGGTGCGGGGTTGTCACTTGTGCTGGGTGTACAGGGTCGTGTCCTTGGTACGGCAATTCACGTATCTCTCTCGTGTGTTTTGTATGCGACGCACTTCTCTCACCCCTGGAAGCACAGCTAGCCAGAGCCCTCTAGCAGTGAGTTGACCGCTTTAGAGTCTGTTTGGTTAGCGAGGTGCTGAGGCATTCTGATGTTTCAGGAGGGTGGTTTCCTGAGAAACTCAGTGTTTTTAAAAACACTCCAGAAATTAGATTCTCTTGATCCTCCAGCTGGTACACATCTCACAACAGATCTGATTGTATGGGTGCTTTATCGCTTTTGTTGTCAAGAATGTTCTCACATTCATTGCTTTTTCTAAAATGCTACATACCACCATGTTTAACTTGTGTTCGACTCTTGTACATAGTGTACCCATATTCCAGTGTTAAAAATCCAAACTACATATTACGTCTATATCCTCTTCCTGACTGAATGCTGATGGAGCTTAGCCGGTTTACAGCACAACCTGGTACTACATAACCATAGAAAAGTACCTGGCTTTTTGATAAATACCACAACTAGTAACAACAAAAAAGATCCGTGGCCACGGCTTCTCAGACAAGATGTCACTGACCTTCTATCTCTTCACTGTGTTTATTGTTAAGAGAAATTATTTGCTTTGAAAAACTGAAGAGATGCATTAATTGTTTGCAGAAATAGAATGTTTCATCATAGTATCTTGCAAATTAATTATGTAAAGTTTATAACAATGTTATTGTTTACATTGTTTTCTCACTGGGCAATTAGAGTTTCTAACTTGATTTATATTACAAATTCACCCCAAAAAACGGAATAGATTGGGCTGGACTAGTTTGCAATGGTCAAAATTGGGCTGGACTAGCATCAACTGAGTTTGCAATGGTCAAAATTGGGCTGGACTAGCATCAACTGAGTTTGCAATGGTCAAAATTGACACATTTGGAAAAGAAAACTTGAGACGACGTTCAATAACCGAAACGTCGTCCAACATTTCCTCTCAGAAATTAAAATTGTTTGTGAATTGTTCCAGTAACGACATTTTGATTCATCATTCATTTATTGACTCCATAATTAATTATAAATGAATTCACCAGTAATAATAATGGAATTCTCGAAATAAAACTTTTGGATCAATTTTTATTTCAACAATAAATGGGAAAATAAATGTTTACATTTTTGACACCAAAAGAAAATGAAGCCAAGATATTTTTTTTAAATATATAAGACATAATATAATTATTTACATGTATATTAGATATTGTTTATGTAAGCTAGTATTACACACACACACACACACACACACACACACACACACACAGGGATGTTAGGAAGTATTTCTTTCAGTCACAGAGTTGTCAGGAAGTGGAATAGTCTGGGAAGTGACGTAGTGGAGGCAGGATCCATACATAGCTTTAAGAAGAGGTATGATAAAGCTCATGGAGCAGGAAGAGTGATTTAGTAGCCACCATTGAAGAGGTGGGGCCAGGAGCTGTGAATCGACCCCTGCAACCACAACTAGGTGAGTACACACACACGACTTTAAAAACTCAACTTCACAGTGGACAATACTCAATAAAATCTTCAGTGAAAAAAGTTAGGAATGTTTTTGTCACTCTGGTTATGGAATGATGTGCTGGGATGGTTGTGCTGGGAGAAGTCTGGTTTTAGGAGGTGGAGGGCTGGCTGGGAGTCTGTTTGTGCTATGGGAGGTGGATTGTGCTGTGGAGTCTGGATCTGTGCTGGGAGGCTGGATTTGTGCTGGGAGCCTGATTTGTGGGAGCTGGTTTGGCTGAGTAATTCGTTTGTGCTATGGAGTTGGGATTTGTGCTTGGATCATGGATTTTTTAGGGAGCTGGATTTGTGCTGTGGGAGTTGGATTTGTGTGTGGGAAGCTGGATTTTGGCTGTGGAGGCTGGATTTGTTGTGGGGGTCATTGTGCTGTGGGAGCTGATTTGTGATGGGAGTTGGGATTGTGCTGGGAGCTGATTTGCATGTGGTAATTGGACATTTGAGAAAACTGTGGGAGTCTGGATTTGCTATCCGGAGGTCTGGATTTGTCTTGGATTGGATTTGTCTTGTGATTTGTGCTGTAAGGACATTTTGATTGATCTGGATTTATTTGCTATATATTATGTCTATGAGTGATTTGTAATAGCTGAATGGAAGTCTCGAAAAAATTTTTGGATCAATTTGTTATTTGCATAAATGGGAATTTAAATTGTTTACATTTTTGACACAAGAATGAAGCCGGATTTTTTTTTGATATTAGACATGAATATAATTTGTGTATGATGTATTTGTGTTATTGGTTTGTGCTGTATTACCTGAAATCTGGCTAGGAGCCTGGGTTTGTCTAGGGAGTATTTGCTTTCAGTACGGGATTTTGTCAGGGAAGTGGAAATTGTCTGGGAGTGATGTAGTTGGAGGCTGGATTTCATAGCTTAAGAGGAGGTATTTAAGCTCATGGGGAAGGGGGATTTGTAGGGAGCATGGATGAGGTGGGAGCTGGATTTGTGTATCGGACCTGCAATCGCTATAGGGAGTACCCCAGATTTTTAAACTCGATTTGGCAGTGGAGCTGATGTTAAATGGAGAATTGATTGTGTATGAAGATTTGTTATGGGACATGTGCTTTGTCATTTCATGGGTTTTTCATGGGATTTGATTTGTGCTATGGGAGTCTGGATTTGTGCTATGGGAGTCTGGATTTGTGCTGTGGGAATCTGGATTTGTGCTATGGGAGGCTGGATTTGTGCTGTGGGAGTCTGGATTTGTGCTGTGGGAGTCTGGATTTGTGCTATGGGAGTCTGGATTTGTGCTGTGGGAGTCTGGATTTGTGCTATGGGAGTCTGGATTTGTGCTATGGAAGTCTGGATTTGTGCTATGGGAGGCTGGATTTGTGCTATGGGAGGCTGGATTTGTGCTATGGGAGGCTGGATTTGTGCTATGGGAGGCTGGATTTGTCTGTGGAAGTCTGGATTTGTGCTTGGGAGTCTGGATTTGTGCTGTGGGAGGCTGGATTTGTGCTATGGGAGGCTGGATTTGTGCTATGGGAGGCTGGATTTGTGCTATGGGAGTCTGAATTTGTGCTATGGGAGTCTGGATTTGTTGTACGGAAGTCCGGATTTGTGCTATGAGAGTCCAGATTTGTGGTACGGAAGTCCGGATTTGTGCTATTGGAGTCAGGATTTGTGGTACGGAAGTCCGAATTTGTGCTTTGGGAATCCGGATTTGTGCCACTAGAATCCTGATGTATGCTACAAGACTGGATCCAGCAAAAGCTAGATTGGATAGACTGGCAAACAGGTTTCAAGTCACCTGTGGCAAACCAAGGTCAGTCGAAAAGACATAAAAACAATGAAGATATTTCACCTGACAGTTGGCTTCCTCATGTCCACTAGAAAAGCTCAATGTGGAGAAAAGACAAGTGCAGTTCAGGACAGTTATTAAAGGAAACGTTTCGCCACGAGCGGCTTCTTCAGTCCTAATGCAGAGACAAGTAAACATCTCTCGCTAGTCCAAAAAAATGGTTAACTTTAATTTTTAAAGAGATGGACGGGTAAGCCAGTGGAAGTTCTCTTTCAGATAACCAAAAACTCCAGCGGTGGGTTATCATATGACTAAGACCAGCACCAGGAAACATTTGTCCTGTTTCCTGACCAGTCTTACCTAACCTAACCTAATCTCTCACGGCTGCTAGCCACCTGGCTCCGCCATTATAGTCTCCTTGCTGAGTTGTCCCTCTGTCAGACCCAAGAAAAACTATTCACAGCATAATGTTTCCTTCAACGAGTTCTGTTTGAATGTCTTTTTTTCACATTGGACTTTTTCAGCGTAGTTGGAAAAAGCCCTGAGTCGGGTTGAAGTCTTTCACTGAGTCATATCTTGTTTTAAAACTATCGGCAGTTTGTCACTGTCTCAATCAGAATTAGGTCGGCATGTAGATTTGAAAATTATCTCATATAGAAAACTGACTCACAGATGAGTAAGGTAGCTGAGATTAGCGTAGATCGACTGTTTAGATGAATGAACTAGCTCAGACTAGCGTAGATGGACTGTTTTGATTAAGGAAGCTCAGATTGGCATAGATCGACTTCAGACCGGCGTAGATCGACTTCAGACCGGCGTAGATCGACTGTTTTCATGAGTGAGCTAGTCCAGATCAGAGTAGATTCACTGGCACATCAGTAAGCTAGCCCAGGCTGGAATATATTAACTGGCAGATGCTGAATAAGTTAGTCTAGGTTGGAGTAGATCCACTGAAGGTAGCGAGTAAGTCTGGTGTAGACGCCAGGTTTGTTGGGTCTGGCACACCCGGAGCCCCAGCTGGTGATTCCTACAGCAGTGTAGCGACCTGGTGAAGAGAGGGGGTAGAGCTTAGCTCATTGCAGGTAGCAAGTGTACTGTCAGTACAGTTAGAAATCTGGGTGGGAGGCCTGAGAGGAACAACCCTCGCTGCTATCAGATGTTGCATTATTGGAAAATAAATTTTAACATTAGGCCAGATAAACGATTGAAAGCAATTTGTATAAAGTGATGTTTATATATATATATATATATATATATATATATATATATATAAATATATATAATATATATATATATATATATATATATATATATATATATATATATATATATATATATATATATATATATATATATATATATATATATATATATATATATATATATATATATATATATATATATATATTATATATATATATATATATATATATATATATATACACAGGAATACCTCGTAAATACGGCGCTCGTTTTAGAGTGTTTTGCTAATACGGCACTTTTCAATTATATTCATGTTAATTATTTTGGGCAGTGTTTTGGAGGCGAGGCGCACATCAGCATGACCAGTGTCAGTCTGCTTATAACTGTGCACTGTGTCTGAGTGTCGTATTCTGGCAATTTTCGAACTTTTTACTTATTTTGATATTGTTGTAATTATTAATTACAGTACAATGGCCCCTAACGGTAATGCTAGTGAAAAGAGTCAAAAGTCTCTTTAAATCAAAAGCTAGAAATGATCAAGCTTTGTGAGAAAGACATGTGGAATACTGGGATAGATAAGTGTTAGAAGATCACACCAGCTCCACTATCCCCGTCAATATTCCTCTGATAATTACTTCTTTTAAAATGTTAATTTGTCAGTCACCGTAAGCAAAGGATGAAAATATTTTGCGGTTAGCAATATAGTACTGTAATATTTTTACTTTTGCATTGTTTTTTAAACCTAGCAATATTGCAGACTTAACAAAATGATAGTGTACACATTTTTAAGCTTCTATATGCACTGGCAATAATAATTATAATCACTCACCATCCACGAAGCAAACCATCGGACCTCCAGAGTCACCCTGACAGGTATCAATACCCCCTTCCAGGTATCCTGCACAGTACATCCCCTGGGTAAGTCGTGATGCCCCATACACGTACTCTGCAGTACACACCTCCTCTGGCAGGATGGGCAGGAGGGCAGACTGCAGCACATTGGAGTATCCTGCAGGAAAATGAATGCTCTGAGATACGCCTCTTTCCTAGAATGGTCGGCAGGTGCTTGGATTACCTCTGGGATATCCTTTCATTTTTTTTTTTTTTTTTTTTTTTGCATGGTACTTGGATGTGTTTGGTCTTGGAGCAACGGTGGATCTGATTTGATGTGTAAACAATGGCAGTATCTATTTAACATTGTGCTTAGGACAATGGAGGATACATACCCTCTGAAATACCCAGGCTGCCCCACCCTGCAACGGTACAGTTGAGGTAGGAATGGTACTTCCAGTTGGACGGTACCAGACACACAGGAAGCACCAACTTGCCAAACCTTGCAGAAAAGAAAATAGTGAATTAGCAACCATCCCCCACCATGGTGCTGGTAAAGGGCTCTTGATGCCAGGAATTGGTGCTACCAAACTATCCTCCTTTCCCATGGATCAAATCTAATTACCTTCCAATCCCTAGGTACTGCATGTTGCTCTCCCCTTCTCGTTTTAAAGCTGATCACTTCTCATTCTCTAGGTCCTATATGACTTTTATGCATTAAGAGCTTCCTCGTGAATAAAATAATAATAAGAATCTGCAGCCACAATATAATTAATTGTTTATATCCAAAAAAATCATCAAAAACGATAAAATGTTATGGTTACGTTCTTGAAAATCAGCGTTTAATCTCTTAGCGCTAACTTAACTATAGAACCTATTGGAAAACAAGGGGTTACGTTCCTGTTTTAGCGCTAACTGAACTATGGAACTTATTGGAAAAATAGGGTTACGTTCCAAAAACGTTCCAAAAATAGTGAAGTTGTATGTGGGGGGGGGGAGGGGGTAGAGACTTACTGTATACCCTTCCCATTCTTCCTGACAATCTTGAGGAGAGCCACATCGTTGTTGAGGTATGGACCCTTGTCGAACTCTGGGTGGATGATCACAGAGGACACGTAGAACTCCTGCTCTTCCTCTTCCTTATCCTGTGTGAAGTTACACGGTCATTGAAAAGGGTGAGCAATGGAGCAAAAGCTAAAAAGAAAGAAATAGGCAATGGCTGAAAGAGAAGGGAGAATAGGGGATAGAATGCTAAAGAGTAAGAAGCATTATTTTCTAGGGTGGGACAGACAGAAATGAGGATTGTGTGGAGAAAGAAAATGGTAAATGTAGGAAGGAGAGGAAGAAAAAGAAAGTAAATGAGATAAAGAAGGGAAGAAGAAAGGCAGACTGGAGGGATGCACATATGACACTAGTTACAAGTTGTCATTTAATGATATGTTTATCAGATCTATCAAGAGGATAGAGCATACTTTTACTTTTACACAAAAATACACACAAACACAAAACACACACACACACACACACACACACACACACACACACACACACACACACACACACACAAGAATATGTACATTGAAATGTGTATATTTCTCCATGTTTATAAGCTAAGTATTTAATTTTACCCCTTTTACAAGGCTTATAGTATCCTTCATTGGTGATGATAAGGTTATTAGCAGCCTTAATGATTCTCGTGTAAATGATAAGGCTAAAGAAGCATAATTACCATAGTGGAGTAGTCTCCTATCTTGAGGAGGAAGGTGGTGGCCGGGTACTTGATAACGCAGTGGGCAGCTGTCAGCACGTAATCTGCTGTCAGTATCGCTCCTCCACACCACTGGGATGGCCCTGACCTCGTTCTCAGGTTGATAGCCACCTGTGTTTACCTCTGGCTTATCACTTTGTGGGTGTAGCACTTAGTTATGGTTATAATAATTATCACATACTAGTCTTACTATTAATTAAATAGAACAAAAGTCACAGTACAATTCACTCCTGTTGCCAGAGACTGCAAAGAAAAAACTGGTCAATGTTTCGCTTGACCTGAACCTTTTTGCATTTCCAAACTGCAGGGTTTTCACTGGTTTTTTGATGTTTTCCACCTGAGTGGACAACTTTTCCATACCTGTGAGTGTATTGGTCAGCTGACGGGATCTCCTACATTTGTTTTCAAAATCATTAACGTATCAGCCTCTGCTCTGTTATTGCCAAATTACATTTTATGGGTTCTTCTTTGGATCATTTTTGTTTATCGTCAAATTTCATTCAGATTTTATTCTTAGATTCTTAGTACGTTAAATATGAATAAAACAATGTGAATTAACAACATTGTTTCTGAAGGTTAAAAATATTGGCAATGGCAACGGTATTTTGGCTACTGGAAAACGATAAAGCAATTCCCAATAGATTTTTAGACCATTTCAAATACAATAATACAGTGGTACCATGACTTACGAGTTTAATCCATCCCATGACAGAGCTCGTAACTCAATTTCCTCGTATATCAAATCGATTTTCCTCATTGAAATTAATTGAAATGCCATTAATCCGTTTCAGCCCCTAGAAAACCACCCCAATTTTTTTGTTACGGGTTTTTAAATAAGTAAAATGTATTTATCAATAAGAAATGATATATGCATTTTTTTTGCCAGGTCCTAGCAATGTTTTAGAAATGCTGGAGTATATATATCTGTCTGTTTAGTTCTGTCTCTGTTTTATCTCTGTCTCTGTTTGTCTTTCTGTCTGCCTGTGTTTCTGTCTTCCTGTCTCTCTACTTGTCTCTCTGTCTCAGAGAGAGAGCCACTCATGAACCAACAGGTATTGCACACGATGCAGAGTTAGTCACGTCTGATTACTGAACAGGTGAAAATGTGTCTTACTTACCAGTCATGCTTATTATGCCGTATATCTACAAGCATAATATAGCACTTTGTCTGGATTTTTGGATTATCCTAGGTAATTTACACTATGTATAACTGTATTTATGTGTACCTGTTAGATAGAGACAGAGACAGAGATAGAGACAGACTAGATAGAGACAGAAATAGATACAGAAAGACAGGAGATAGAGACAGCAAAAGCAAATCGGCCAGCCAGCCGGCCACCCAACCAGCTGGCCTGCCGAACATGTATTATGTATGTTCCAGAATTGTTGTTTGCTTAGGGCATACATTACAGAACATTCTGGCAGGATGACACTACTCGCAACTCAAAGCGAAAAATCAACCGAGCAATGGCTCGTCCAAGTCCAATGGCTGGTCCAAGTCGAACCGAAACGTCGTCTCTCCTATGTGCGGGTTAATTGTGTATTGTTCCAGTCACAGTATTGTGACTTTTTGCTATTTAACTTCTCTCAGCTTCAATAAGGTGTCCAGCTTCCATTTATGTACCCTCATCCTTGTGAGTACTTTGCATTTGGTGACTATGTCTCGTCTTTTACAATATACCATTCGTGAGATCCAGCTCATGTAATTAGCCATATATTTTAATATAATATTAATAATGATGCCATGGTTAATACAATGTAATGAGAATGCCAAATCAAACTAGCAAAATACTAGTAGAGTCTGACCATCCAGGGATGGGCTCCAGGAGGGGGCGTGTGGCCCCCCACCACCTTGGGGGACTCCATAATAAGGGAGGGCGGCCTGTCTTCCACTGCCCGCCTCCCACACGTGGGTGGCAGCCCCGACGCAGGCGGTGATACCTCAGGCTGACTCGGCTCGTTCCTCTGTAATAAAGAAGATAACACCTCCAGAAGACATTCTTCACGTTAGGATTTGTATATTTTGTTGAGGATATTTTAAGAGCTGCATTTTTTTTTTTGATGGCGGGTTTCTAAGAGTTATGATGTTTGTAAATTCGACCAACCGCTGGATTTTTTGAGCATCGAAGTCCGACGTCCTCAGTGTGGTCGCAATTGGTCTGGCCCCAGGGCACGTGTTGGCACTGTGTCACACTGGTCTCATACCCCAGGCACCGCACGTCGTCCAGCCACACCGGACCACTACCAGGGCCGAAAGTATTATTCTTGTCGATGTGAGAGGCCCCTTCCCACCCCAGCATGCGACACAACACCTGCAGAGGGAACACAGAGTTATGCTGACTAGAGACAATGCATGCAGACACAAATGTAGTGCTAGATGATCTTTATTGACGAAGTTTCGCCCACGCAGTGTCTGTTGCCAGGGAACATTTTTCCTGACTCTGATCCTAGTCATATGAGGACCTAATTTGCTCCTGTGTCTGGACAAATAGTTGGACGGCAAATATGCTGAAGAATAGTGTAATACAAAGACATAGCCAAGCAAGCTTATATTAATGTTTCATTCATTTTGAGCGAAACCCTGTTAAACAGTCTTACTCTGGTATTATAAGCATCTCTAAATATGACACAGTAAGTGATTTTATGGCATTTTGTTGAGAAAACGTTACTTTCACCAGAGACTTCATCAATGATTTGATTGGTGGAAATATCGTCTTCTCAATAAAATGTCAAAAATCGCATCTTGTCTTATTTGCTTCGCTGTCGATATCTACATAAGATCATAAAAGAGGAGCAGCACCGCAGCAGGCCTACTGGCCCATACTTGGCAAGTCTTACTCAAACCTAAACCCACTAAAAAAATGTTCGACCAACCCTGAAAACATACACAGAGTTTTTCACTGGGTAGGAGTCTCCGAGTTATTGTTTATACGGGACATTATGTACTTCGAAAATACCAACTCGGGCCTCCTACCAATGAAATACCCTCTATAAAGGCGTGTCTGTGTTACCATAGGAAGATCAGTTAAAACCCTCGGGTAAAAAACTGGTCTTTGTGCTTACTTTCCCCTTTCCCTCCATACCGATGTCATCATCACACACACTGCCCCAGATCCCCAGGTGCTTCACTTCTACGCGTCCCTGGACTGTCTCCATCCATTACTCGGACCAACGCCTGCGCCACCGCTACGAGACGCACCTCTACCGGGGCCTAGGGAAATTTGGAAGAGGAGTGAATGTAAGTGCAATTACAGTGAAATATTAATGGTTAAGTAGACAAACGAACCTAGAGGTGAAAAGACGATTGACCAAAAGTCGTCCACGTTGCATTTTTAGTTTGTGGATTAATTGTGAATTGTCGCAGCCACAGTGTTGTGAGTTGTAGCAGGCACGGTATTGTGGGTTAGTCGTGACTTGTTTCGTCCACGGTATTGTATGTTAATTGTGAACTGGTGCAGTCACGGTATTTTGGATTGTGATTTGTTATAGCCACGGTATTGTGGGTTAGTTGTGACTTCTTATAGCCACGGTATTGAGGGTTAGTTGTGACTTGTTATAGCCACGTCATTGAGGGTTAGTTGTGATTTGTTATAGCCACGGTACTGTGGGTTAGTCGTGACTTGTTATAGCCACGGTATTGTGGGCTAGTCGTGACTTGTTATAGCCACGGTATTGAGGATTAGTTGTGATTTGCTATAGCCACGGTATTGTGGATTAGTTGTGACTTGTTATAGCCACGGTATTGAGGATTAGTTGTGATTTGTTATAGCCACGGTACTGTGGGTTAGTCGTGACTTGTTATAGCCACGGTATTGTGGGCTAGTCGTGACTTGTTATAGCCACGGTATTGAGGATTAGTTGTGATTTGTTATTGGGTTAATTGTGAACTGCTACAACCACTACATTGTGAATTTTATTCTCCTGGTTATTAAGACTAAAGAGTAACAGTAGTTTACGTATTTTCTGCAGATGTAATATGTAATAGTGGTTCTATCAGGATGTTTCAGATTATTACAATACATAACTCACGAAACCATCAGTTAGTTATTGGACTGGGTGACTATTATCTTACTGCTGCACTCTGAAAGAAACATTATGCAGGAGACAGAAAAGTACAGGGAGACAAAACAAATGAATAACAGTGTGGAAATAATAATGTATGAGTTGCCGGAAAGTCGTTTAAGATCGGTGAGAGTTAGTTGTACCTCGCACATCTCTCGATCCTCGTCGGAGTTGTCGTGACAGTCGTCGACGGTGTCACAGAGGAACCTGAGGCCGACGCAGCGACCGTTGTCGCACTTCCACTGCTCATGGGAACACGACTCCCCAGCCTGGAAGCACATCACTCCTGCCGCCTGGAAAAAAGACGAGAAATAAAAGAAAAAGAAACTTGAAGATAAAAAATAAAGGTACTTTCTTTCGATCAGTCTGAAAGGCACTGACTTTATCAGTTAGCATAGACTACACAGTCATCAAAATTCGGGAATACAGAGACCGTTCCTATTACTGGGGAAGGAACGAAACGTCTGATAGCATAAGTGTCACGTAGGAGTTTTCGTTTCTTGTACAAGCAGCTAGTCAAATGATCAACTAATCTACCAAGCGAACAACCAATTAAGCTGTTTGCTAATAGCCACACCTTTTCAGGAGGCAACACACCAAACGGGACCCAGCCACACTCCCTCGGGAACCACCACACCGAGGGGAACCACCACACTGAGGGGTACCCGGCGACACCCTCTTGGGAACCACCACACCAAGGGGGACCCAACGACACCCCCTAGGGAACCACACTGAGAAGAAGTACTCACCTCTGACTCCTGACAGTCGTGTTCGCCCCAGCCAGCGAAGTCGCATTCAGCCAGCGAGGTCTCCTTACCATGGCAGTTGAGATCATCCATCAGATACTGACTGGTGCCAGAGCCAAAGCTGTGAGAAGGGAAATCAGGTGAGCACAGGTGGAAGTCAGCGTTCTTGGCAGTCAAAATATAACATACAAAACAAAGTAAGGTAATAAAAATTACGGAAACCAGCAGAAATAGACACAACACAAATTTATACCAACGCACCATGACCAAAAGTAGGCCTACCTGACCTAGGTTTCGTCCCATTTAAAAAAGAACAATAGCTATATAGGAGTGTTACCTATTACAAACACAACCAGCACATAAGAGAACGAAACTTACGACGACGTTTCGATCGTCATAAGTTTCTTTCTCCTATGTGAGGGTTGTTTGTGTATTGTTCCAGTCAGGGTATTGTGCCTTCTTTATTCTTCAGTGTTGTCTGTTAACAAGTTGCCATATGGCTCAGTGTTGTTCAGTTCTCATTTCCTATTTGTGTGATTTTATTGTGAATTGTTCCAGCTACGGTACTGGTGGGAAATTCGTTAAATAAAACCCAAATTATAGATCGGTATTAAAAAAAAAAGGAAGGGCAAAAAAGTACAAGAATACCGGAGTTTACTCACCGTGAATTTTGGAAGACTTCCTTAGCTCCGGAAGTAAAGCCCAGTTGTTGGCACACTACGTCCCCATCTGGCACCCCCCACATGTCGTCACACACGGGGCCCCATCGACCGAACACTGCCAAAAAAAACGAGTCACCATAAGCTCTCTGGTGATAACAAAACTTCAACAAATCAACAAGTAATAAAAACAAAAGACAGCACTTCTTATAAAATCATAACACGTAAGTTGCCAGGTAAATCTTACAGACTTGTTCTTATATTCGGTATACAAATACCTTTATTCTCCTCTGCGCGTCTTAGTAGTTTTTAATCCTGTAGTATGTCCTTTCAGCCTTGAAGGTCTGGTCTGAGACCAGTTCGAGGGGAAGATAATCCCTAGAACCACTTACAGATTACAAATGCTTATTGGAAACGTTTTGGTCCCGGGACGTTGGTCCTTAGTCGCATTTGGAATGGATAAGGTCCGAGGACCGAAGCGTTTCCATTATTCATGTTTTTTGTGTTACCTTTGACCTCGACGCGGCCCTCGTGGGGGCCAGAGCCGTTGACGAGCCGCACCTCGAAGTTCAGCTGTTTGGCACACTGCTCCTCGTCCTCACCTTCTTCACAGTCCCGACGACCATCACATTGCTGCGGGGAATATACAATGGTGTTGGCACTCAACGTTCAGGTGGCACTCTTCACACTCAAACATCACGAAAGGGCTAGAATATTATGTTTCCTCTTTTTCAATGAAGTTAAATTACTGTATATATAAAAGTGTCGAATGTTTTTATATATATCAAAGTGTTTTTCGGAGACTCGAACGACGGTATGTCTGCTGCCAGTCTGAAAAACTGACCGCGCATTCATCATGCTTATAAATGGCTGCTGTACGAACCTGCTGTGAATGCAACTGTGAAATTTGTAGTGACAAAGTACTGCGATCTATCTACGTTTGTAAAAACAAATAACCCACGGCGATCAAATCAGTTGGTAATGACTATCTCTTGTTACCATTTTGTCATCTATGAACGTGATGGCCAAATGGTTAGTACGTACTTCGGACTGTCACCTGATACCCCATCATTCAAGTTGCAGAGAAATACTTTGAACTGTTACAAGCTTTTATTACCCTAAACAGCTCGTGGGGAAGTAGGTAGGCTGTAGTTCCCTCGCTCCTTACATCGTCAATACGTTGGTTAGTTGGGAATTGTAAAGAAGCAGTCACAGTGTCAGTCATACTCGTTTAGTCACAGCCAATCATTATTTATATCATTCTCTCTCAGCCTGTTCTCACCAGGGTCATGTCGATGCATTTATTATCATTACAGACGAACATGTTGGTACAGTCCACAGTCAAGTTCTTCAGTTCGTAGTACTCCCAGTCCTCAGCAGGAACCAAACCTCCAGAGAGCCCCACGTTGCTGTTGCTCAGGATACACGTCTCTGTGGACTCCCTGCAAGTGGAAGATATATCTGATAAGCTGCTAGAAGCTCGAGTGGGTCATCTGTGCTGACGAAGGCATCGAAGAAGTCTTAAAAAGCAGAAGATATAATGATACTGACAATATGGATGAAAGAACCTGAGTGCATACACTTAGGATATCTTGATTAAAGTTTCGGTCCTGTGACCTCGGTCCACTTGTAGTGAACAAGGTCCCAGGACCAAAACGTATCCAATAAAGTTGTTCTAACTGTATGTATACATTTGTGTCCATGAAGACTTAGACTTTCAGAAGGGGCGCTGGAGGTGTTACCGCCTTTCGAAGATTTGGGTTGATGAATGAGGGTATGGAAGGCCCTTTCACTGACTCCTCTCAAGGTATACTCACAGGGCCGGATTACCGCATAGGCAAACGAGGGATTTGCCTAGGGCCCCGCGCATTTGGGGGCCCCACGGTCCAAGGGGTTCAGGGGCTCATCCAAGACTGCGCACATGGTGCAAGTGTAAAGGGGTCCCTACCTAAAAAGCTCAAGTGTTTGGAGAGTAAAATTGATTTTTAAAAATTAATCAAAACAAAAATAAATAATGAAATAAAATAAAATAAAAATAAATAAACCTAACCATAGATGGCAACACTCAACACGCCTTTGTTTACATCAGAACAGCTGTGTTTTCCCGCTAATGGGTGAGTATGGGAGATTCCTCTCCATTTTCTGTAGAAAATTACACGTTATTTTAGACTTGTACTGTGCCCAAAATTAACTGAAGTTTTTGTTGATAGACATTGATGTGTATGGATAAATGTTTGTTTTCGCCTCTAAATGTTAAGGGAGGTACCTGATAGGGTTACTTGACCAGTAAAGACGCATGGACCAGTGAAGACGCATTTTTGGTAAAAAATACTATAAAGAAAAACCTAAAAACGCAAACTGACTTCCGTTTGTAGGTTTTAAAAGCACTTTGTCCTGTCTTTAAGTCTTTATAAATTTCAATAACAGATCTCAATTGATTGATGTTCTACATCACTTCCGTCGCAAATGCTTAGTTTTCAAGTTGCGACGGAAGTGATGTAGAACATCAATTAATTTACTATATATTTCCCCAGAAACCATAAGCCACATCAGAAAATCGTTGGTTGGGTGAAACTGAGAATTGTCCCTGCATTCTTTAATTCTCATGTCCTTATCTATGGTGGTAGGCCATATATCATGCAAAACATAATGATTATTTAGTTATAAAAAATGGTAATATAAAACCATTGTGCATTGTTTTTGGACTCAGTATGATTTCTGTTTAAGTAAATTGGAGATCAAGGAGGATGAGTTAGTAAAATATTCGTAGCCCAAATCACAACCTAATCAATGGTAAAAGTTCTGTATATGACTCCTTTCTGGTAACTTTTTTGAATTTTTAGATGCGCAGCCAGAGAAAGGGAGCTACAGGGCCATATCCCCCCAATTGACAGAAAAAAAAAATTTAATAATAATTAAAAAATTAATAATAATTGATAAAGAAAAATTTGTATTTGCATGATTACAGACAGTGATACATCCTCATTATGGAAATCTCGTAAACGTGATGTTGGACGTTCTTATGCGAGTGGGGTAAACAGAAAAAAAAAGAAAAAATTCAAGAAGAAGACAGAAAAAGAAAGATGTAGGAAGCGCAAAAGATCACAGACATGCTCACGAAAACAGTTTCTGATGTTACCAGTACAGTTGAATCTGCAGATACGTCAAAATCATACAGGAAGCCCCTCCCTCCATTATTTCTCAGCCAGAAATATTTCTTTTGTGTCTCCTCTCAATGTCTCAAGGGACATTTCATCCATAGGATTTGTCTTAAAAGATCCTGCCTCTTGGCCAAATGTAATCCCAGATTCTCAAACGTAATGCTTTCATTGCAGAAAACTTCAGTCAAACTCTGAACATTGACTTTAGGAAATCACAGGATTTATGATGATGGAAGTCGTCGTTGTTTTAAAGTCATCTATGTTTATAGGAAGCTTGCAAATTCAGAAACTGTGAAAGATCATGGATGGTATACTCGAAAGCTCAGGAAAAGTGTACTGTTCAGCAGAAGCTATTTTCTACCGAAGAAAATACCTTCACACAGGGGTTCAATGACGGGAAAAATCCAAGCGTTTCGAGGAACATGAAAACAGCACCACTCACAGAGCTGCATTTTAGCCATGTATTTCGGCACAGAAAAAAAAGGGTTATTGGATTCTCATTTGGAAAATCAAACGAAAAGAGCGCACTTATTGGAGAAAAGTTCTAGAAAGAGTTGTTGCTGTTGTAAAATTTCTTAGCTCTAAGAGGACTTGCTTTCCCCTGGAGAAAATGAGGTTTTTGGTTCGGAAAACAATGTCATTCCTAGGGATCATAGAACTGTTAGCACAATTCGATCCATTCTTAGCAAATCATGTGTCACGGGGGCCCTTTGGGGGTGCAGGAAGAGGCATGTATCTTAAATTCATCTACTATATGCAATGAATTTTTGAACTGATGACTAAGAAGGTCCTCAATAACATCATAGCAGCTGTGAAAACTGCAAAATACTTTGCAATAAGTGTAGATTCAACACCAGATATTTCATGTACAGATCAATTGACTTTTATTGTTCCTTTGTCGACTCCAGTGGTAAGCCTGTAAGTGCTTTAAAAATTCATTCCTCTTTCAGGCCATGATGGAGAAACAATGATGAATGTAGTACTGGATACTTTTGCTTGAACATGAAACTCTCTATTATGGATTGCCCCTGCCAGAGCTACGACAATGCAAGTAACATGTCGGGGAAATATAATGAATTGCAAGCCCGTATCAAGCAAATCAACCCCCCTTGCTGAATATGTGCCCTGCTCACACATTCTCTTAATCTTGTTGGGTCATGTGCTGCGGAGTGTTGTGTCGCTGCAGTTTCATTTTTGGACTTTTTACAAGCACTCTTTTAATTTTTTTTTCTGCTTCAACGCATCGGTGGGGTTACTCAAGTCAACCTTTCATGGAGGGTGTCATTAAAATCATTTTCAACAACAAGGTGGTCACGCAGCATGATGCAACACATGCTTGAAAGACAACTTTGCTGAAATACGTTCTGCTTTTGATCCAAATAGCAGAGGATGAAGACCAGACAGCAACTACAAGAAGCGAAGCAGCCAGCTTAAGCATCAAAATTGGAAGATTTTGAATTGGCCTTACTCTGTGTGCTTGGGACTGTATACTAGAACGGTTAAATGCCACGAACAGACACTGCAGAAAATTTAAATTGAAATGGCTACTTGTACTAACATCTATGCAGCTTAGTGGAATTTGCAAGTCACTTCGCAATGATGAACCTTTTGAAATGTTTGAAGAGAAAGCTAAACTGCTTGGTGAAAGACTACAGTTACCCGGGGTGATCATCAGCGGTCAAGGAAGAGGAAACGCAATTTGAAGAGCCAGACAATGAAATTGTGTTGCTACCAAGGCAGAAATGTAAGACAGCTACAAACTTCGTCATTCTGGATTCACTGATTACAGAATTGGTGAAAAGAAAAGAAATCTACCAGAATCTCAATGACAAGTTTGGATTTCTGTTCAAAATTACTACTATGCCAGATGCAGAAATTGAGAGAAGCTGCATTAAAGTTGCAACAACACCTTTCAGCAGATGTTCAGGAAAACATTTGTTTTAAGAAAAAGTTCATTTTTCTGGGTTTATGAATCAGATTAAAGCTCCACCTGAAAAATGTGCGCCCTCAGCTGCTTTGAAACATTTTTAAAAAATGCAGGTATTCAGAAACCTTCGCTAATGTTGACATAGTGGGATCGCCTTTTCCTAACACTTCCAGCTACTAACTGTGAAGGAGAACGTTCATTTTCTGTTTTGAAAGAGTGAAAAACCAGCTCCGTTCAACAATGAGCCAAGACAAATTGTGTAACCTAGCCTTGGGGACCATTGAGTGATCTAACAAGAAATATTGATTTTTAAAATTAATTGATGATTTTGTCAATATGAAATCCGAAAAAAGTTTATTTAAGAAGTGCCTGTGAATATAAACAATTCTTTACTTTCTTGAATTTATATGATTTGATAGTCTTATGCATGATGCAATGATAATAATGGTCAGTGATTTATAAAGGGAATAATAGTGCTGTAGTGGTTATGCTGAATATAATAGGTACATGATGTCACTACTTTAATAGCCTAATCTAGTAATAATATGCTGTCTTGAGTTTATTCTCTTTAAAATGCATGATTTAACAAGATAGTTATAATGGCTGTTGGTAAATGGTTTTGGTTGTCTTGATGTACTTTCCCTATTAAATTTAATCTAAATAGCCAGAATGTATTTAATTAGACCTTAAACAGGTTCACACCGACCCCCCCCCCCCCCCCCCCCTCAAGCTGGAAGGGGTCGCTTCGCTTACCCGTAACTCAAAGGGGCCCCGCCAATCTGAATAGCCTAGGGCCCGGAGACTTCTTAATCCGGCCCTGTATACTCAAGATATGCATTGTCTGATAAAACCCACTCATTGATAACAAAACAAAATGCGAGGGCCTTCCTAGCTTTTTATTTTAGCACATGTTGATAACGGAGGAACATGAAAGAATTGCCACTCAGAATAAACTATGAAGGGTACATACACAGAGCAGTGTTTATCTAACAGTGTATATACACTCAGAGCTTTCTTCCTTATTTCAGAGCTTAACATTTCCTAGACTAGTGGTGTACAGAAAACATGCAGCAATTCTGACCCTCGTGTAGTCTACAAGCATTAAACCTTATAAAGCAACCACTCAAAGTAAATCATCCATCCCATGCTAAAGTTGCAGAAAACACTGAACTCACTGGTAGTTAAACGACTTGCAGACGAAGTTCTTGGCCTGGATGCAGCGGGCAGCACAGGTTGTCTTGATGGTGTACAGCCACTTCTCTACCTCGTTCCCTTGCAACCTGTGCCTCACTTGCTTTCTGAACTCGTGGCTGTAGTCGGGGCACCCCACCTCGTCACTCTTGTCATCACAGTCCTGGTGAAGAGAGTGAGTTCTCAGGTGTTCAAGTATTTGGTAGTAGTTGTTCTAGTGACTTGTAGGTAACTGTTTTGGGACTGGTAGATAATTAGCATGTATAATTAGCAGAGCTCTTGAAATATCTCCAAACAACAAAAATAAATTTGATCCTTCTCACTCAGAGAAACAGGGACACTCTCGCACAGTAAGAGCAACAGGAACGGTCGCACAGTAAGAGCAACAGGAACGGTCGCACAGTAAGAGCAACAGGAACGATCGCACAGTAAGAGCAACAGGAACGTTCGTACACTGACCAACGGGAAGTCGCTCACTCACACCAAGTGTCTTTATTTAATTTTATTAACATCTGACTTTCTAAACTTATTTCCTGCTTAACTTATTTTTCAACTTTTTAATTACAGCATTTCATTTGTTTATTAATCTGCAGTATTTACAAACGCTTTATCATATTTTCAAGTTATTTTTCACCATCATAACTGAACAAATCTCACTGCGATTTATGTTTACAATCTCTTGAGATGACATACTTGAACGGGATGTGAAGAACGCTTCTGTTGACATTAATCTCAGTATAATTCTTTTGTTAATCTTTGTCACCTCTATCATGTCTTCGCTGGGTGAGGAAGCCTGTGGGTCGAGTGAGAAAAATGTCACCAATACGTGATAAGCAAGAAAAACTATACTTGGTACTCACATTACATGTGAACATCACTTTGCCTACTTTAATTTCCAGGAAAAAAGAGCATGGTCGATATCTGAACCCGCTGTTACAAGCGATTTAATAGCGCAACAGTGAATTCGCGGAGGCGATTTATTCCAGAAATCACCGAAATTCGCAGCATTACGTAACCTAGTCTTTGCTGTGTGTTCTTACGTTCAGGAGGTGAACTTCATCAAGACCTGGTGAAGCTCAGTCATGAAGGAAACATCTAAGAAAAAGGCTTGCTCTGCACTACCTGTCTTTATAACTGCCATTTAGGCTATTTACAGATACTATAGGAAGCTGTCATAACGCATATCCGACTCACCTCCTGTCCGTCACATTGCCATTCACTGTGGATACAGCTGCCAGACGTGCAGGCAAACTTGTCAGTAGGACACACTCCCACCAGGTCGTCAGGGGGTTCTGCTGGTATATCCTCCACTTGCTGCTTACATCTGTTCAGTACACGGGAGTACATGGTTATGTTGAGTACACGGTGTCTTCGCTGGAGTACGTGGATACACTTTATGCACAGATAACCTATCAGACCACAGTACAGTATTGTGCCTTTTTGTTATTTACAGACCACAGTGTTTAACAAAACATATAGAGTGATAGGGAAAGATGGCTAAAAAATATTTACATATATTGTGACACCCATCCTTCCAGGCTACTTAAACTTTTTAAGAACAATTCTGGGTTACAGGTCAGCCAGCATCGCTCACTACTCTCTGATTATTACTTATATACTCAGACTGACTCGGAACCTGCATGAAAATATATAAGAGAGCATTTGCCTTTATAACTGCATTGTTTGCGCAAGTAGAGCCTTATTTGAACAACATTTTGCCCATGAGAAACTTGATCAAGTTATTATCAAGCTACACTTGTAAACCACGGTACGGGTGAGGATTGAGCTCGCGGCTAGTGAGTCGTAAAACTCCAAACCGGTGTGTTACATTTGTAACCGTGACGAGCAACATCTGGGTACAATACAGCAACAAGAAACACTTCATGTGATGGAGTGCACCTGTGATGACAAGCTAGTCACTGACTCCAGTGACCTGAACAAAAGAAAGTGCTTAGAAGCCTCTCTCGTAACAATCAATCTCAGTCACCATCCCAAAGAACTTATGACCCTCCAAATATTTCTAAAATATTTGGAAGCTTATTTAGGTACAGGTACACACGAGTTCAATTATCGTACAAAGTTTAACATCTGCGTAAATTTATCTAGGATAGCCCCAAAAAAGTCAGATAGCAACTTGATACCATTGTCCTCATACCTGGGAATATCGCAAAAACTGGCTTCTTCTCTGGCAGTGAAGCACCATGGGATGTCATCACCGTCTGGGTTGGCACAGTAGTTGTCCCTGAGGTCAGCAGCCATGGGTAAATCTTTCACCTTTGGTTGAACCTTCGGGTCACTCCACAACAAGCAGGGTTCACCCTGAGCAGTGATGTTGGCTGTGCCTGAGTAAGTCATCCCTCGACCCTTGATGCAGCCTAGTCATAGAAAACGTAAATATTAGAGAAAACGAGAGGACTATATGGTGTAACTTTATCATTCATTTTTATGCTAACATATTGTCGCAAATTTGTAAAATTTCAATTTGACAAAGATAATACTCAACATGTCATTAAAATACTGAACAAATGAATGAAAATAACGGTGAATATTTACCAACGTCGACCTTGTTGGTTTCACACACGTAATGCAGCTTTAGCGCGCAGTTAGATAACTGTAAATGTTGGGCGACAATCAGTTTCGTTACAATATTGAACATTTCATTTTACGCAAAAGTTACTTTTTAGATTTTCATGCAATTTATCAGTTAAATTGAGTAGGCAACACGGTAAAAAAAAATCTGCGTCGTTTCGTACATATAAAAAATCATCTTTATAAGAGGACCAAAGCTCAACTCTAGAAGTAACAAATTTGTTTCTTAACGTATTTACAGTTTTAACATTACCTGCTAACAACCGTCACCACATTCATCATAAACATAAATACCTCAAGAACCTGACTGAAATACGTCAGATTGTTCGACTTCATGGGGTACCCTGGGTAAAATCTCCATAATGCTCCATAAATACATGTCCTTAATATCAGTTTCTCCTATAGGTGGTGTAAAAACTAACAATGTTCAATCCCCACCCGTGTCGTGGTTTGTTTGCAATTGTGTCAATACGATTTCGTGAGTCATAAAAATATTTGCACTCTCTCGAGTCACCCTAAGTTACCTTCCAAAAGAAGTACTCTGCTGAGGCCGTAACTGGTTCATTTCCTTCTTCCTGGGGTACTGAGAATTTGTTCTTCAGCACTATGCACTGGGTTATCCCAGACTGCCCTGCTCGGCCGGCTGGCCGCTCTGGGTAGCGTTCCACCCTGAGGTAATGAAATACGAGTTTTAGTCATATTGAACCCATCCTTACTCCATGATCATGTCAAGGTCAGTGTTAATTTAGACCTGTTTAGAAATGGAGTTAAAGAGTACATGATGAATGAAGTCAGGAAATGGGTGTAAAGTGAATTCTTGAATTGTGAGTAATATTGATCCTAAAATATTTATTAGTATTGCTTTGTGCTATTAATTTTAGAATATTAGAGGATAAAACGGCATGTACACATGTCAGTCTATGTAACGACATATACAAATACAAAATAAATAATTAGATAACTGTTTTGTCCTTGCTAATGTATTTAGGTAACTGATAGTTTTTCATGTAACTGATATGCTCTTTATTGTATTTTCATTTTTAATAATTATAACTGATAATTTACTGTATCAAACCCTCACCTGACAGGTTGCTACTACCACTACTAACATTAACCTCTTCCCTACCACCATCCACTCACTGCAACCCACCATTACCACACCTCCCGCCAGCACATCCACCCACCTCTTCAACTGACCTGGCCACCACAGTGAAAAAGGTAAGGTTGCTGCAGGAGGAATGGAGGAGTTCTGCCACAGCCAGTAGGTCTCGCTGAATATTTTGGTCCTTACACCGCCAGTGTGGAAACCCACGCTGTCCCCACCCATCGCCTCCAGCATGTCAGACACGAAATTACTCTCAGTCTGGGCCAGAGATTTACGAAGGAGAGAAAAAGAGGAATGTTATTATTTCGAATATTATTATTTAGAATGTTATTACTTGGAAAAGAATGAAATGTTCAACCATTTATCTTTATTTCGACTCAAAACCATCAATAAAGATAATATTATTGCATTCATAGGGGAGGAGCGCTAAATCCGTGGGTGTTGCACCAACGCCTGGGAAAGTGGGAGACAATCTGGTTCTCTCTAAGGAAATGAAAGACAGGTATAATTCCATGGATCAAAAACTTTCCCATCACCGGCATAATTTTGACACAATGTGAATGTCGGGGTTTTCTATCTCATGTTTCTTCAGCCTTTTATTTGTTTACACATCAGTTTAACTGGCTAAGTACCGTGACTGGAACAATACACAAATAACACGTACATAGGAGATTGCAGTTTATGACGACGTTTCGGTCCAACTTGGATCATTAACTAGTCACACAGGTGCAAAGGGAAGGGAGCCAGAATATATACGAGAGGGGGAGCGTTCTACCACTCCCGTTTCCTGCCCCTCCTCTTGTATGTTTTCTGGCTCCATTCATTTCCTTAGCGATTTAAATTCATACACTCGTAAATACGCCCTAATAATACACTCATTAACAGAATCTGGTATAGCATAGCCTTGGTCTGTTGACTGACCTGGGAGGTGATAGAGAGGAGCCTGGCACCCCTGGAAGAACACCTGACACGAGCCTCAGAGTGCGACACGAGGGCGGAGGTGTGGACGAAGTAGCATTTGTTACCCCAGCGAACTCCCCCTACAGCACCACACTCAGACACCCAGTTCCTCAGGCAGCGCACTCCTGTGGGAGGATCCCATATATATACAAGAAAATTCTAAAACAAAGCAGCGAAATAAGAATTACAGCCATGAATTAAATTTTAGTGAAAATGATTAGTAAAATAACGGTAGCGTTAACATTAAAGAAGAAGTGTCGTTATATTATTATTTTTATTAAGGTAGGCGCTAAACCCGAAAGTCATACAACAAATTGAAATGATGAGCTGCAGGAAAAGTACTGACGTCAATAATAACAACAGAAGAGACAGCAAGATTAAAAATTCCAGTTAAGATATGAAGATTTAATAAAGCCAAAATCTTATTTTTTCAGTAGCAGTTGGAACAGCATTTAAAGAGTGGTAGCGTCTCCACAAATAGTGGTAGTAACAATAGCAACAGCAATGCTGAAAGCAATGTTTATGACAAAACAGCATCAGCAGCACCTACATTAGCAGTGACTTCAATAGCGGCAAAAACATTAACAGCAGCAGTGATACCGTAATTCCCGCACAGCAAATGAATAGTAGATTAGACAGCGAGTGAGTAAACACACACAGACTTACCGACCACTGTCTTATCGAGATCCTCCGGAGCTCCCAGCTTAAGGCTACAGTTCATGAGATGTTGCTCCTGGCCCTGGCAGTCCACCTGACGCACCCCGGCACTCCTCCCGGACACAAGACCAAAGGAAAGCCCCTGGGTAGCCGATACAGCTCCTCTGCCGGACAAACGGGAGTAAAAAAAAAAATCAAGAAATATTTTTCAGAAAAAAATGTGATTTTAAACTCTTGTAAACAGTATGACGATGGATTTGCTGTGGAGTCTGAGAGGAAGCAACAACTGCCTGGTTACTCACCTGGTGAAGCCAAGGCTCCTGCAGACGACCGATGCTTCGTCTTTAGTCCAGCCATGTGGAGAGTCTGCCACCAGGTGCCATCCCTCCCTTCCACCGTTCACCTGACGCAGTAGCAATATATGAAGACATGATTTGAAAAACGGAGCAACAGATTAAATATTAACAAAATTATTCAAGTAATAATTTGACTGACACACTTCATGAAAAGCTATAAAACTCAATGAGTTTCTCTGTACTTGTGAAAGGACATTATTATGAAATGTTTTTTGATCTAATAATTTTAATCCTCCATACTTTCTTCCATTCTTCTCCTCTAAATCTTTTTATATTCATCACCTCTTTCATAACATTTATATTCTTCCTTTCTCCGTACCTCCTTACATTCTTCCCACTCTCCAAACTTCTATACATTCTTCCCTTTCTCGATACCTTTTTACATTCTTCCCTGTCTCCATTCTTTCCGTCCTCCACATCCCCTTACATTATTTCAACTTTTCATATATTCTTCCCTCCATACATTCTTCTCTCCATCCCTCCCTCCCTACATTATTTCCGCCCTTGTTTCCCCGTCGCTACATTTCAGTCAGTTGCTCACCTGGACATAGCCAGCCCAGGGGGCGGTACCCCCTCTAAGCCTCAGTCTCTGGCCGGATGCTGGAGGCGTCACCGTTATCATTCTGGGTTCTCCTGAGAAAATGTTAATTATTTTAAAGACTCTTGAAGAACCTTTCCTGACACTTTCCAGCAGGTGGGCTGCTCGAAAGCGCTAAACTTATGTGAGTCATGCAACACAAAGAATTATGAGGCTCGATGCTTCGTCCGCTACGTACGAAAAAGACGTGTACGTGGATCACTGTTCGTATGTTCCCGTATCACGAAATTCAAGCTATTTTATTTTTTCAATAATCTGACTAGACAGAGAGTATGTTGATCTCGTGATTAGCGGACGGAGGATCAAGCCTTCACATTCCTTGCGCTGAATAATGCACACGGGTTTAGCGCCTTACATAAACTAGTATTATATTATTAAGCTCAATAATAACCCACATGGAAACAGAAACTCAAAAGAACAGTTGATCTGTATATTTTGATACCCTTTCGAGATCCTCTTCATCAGATTATGATTAAATAATACCTGAATGTAATATATACACATCTAATACATTTTTGTCAATGTTTTAGTTTCTTTTTATTTCTTTCGGTCAAATTCCGACTGTGATTTTTAAGAGGACGGATTGAAATAATTTGGGCAACACTGGGTTGCTATGGAACTATAATATAAATATGGCAAGAATATATTATTATTATTATTATTATTATTATTATTATTATTATTATTATTATTATTATTATTATTATTATTATTATTATGGGAGAGAGCTAAACCCGTAGGATTATACAGCGCCTGTGTGTGTGGGGGGGTATGGAAGGCATTCAGGCTCAATTCAGGGAACTGGAACACAGATCCGATTCCCTAGATCAAGAGCCTCCCTTGAGGGGGAATACATGTATAAGGAATGAAGTGGTATCCAAGAAGTACTCACTTTTTTTCTCCGGAATCTTGGGACACACTGTCCTCCGTGGGAAGTCGCAAATGCCTTTGTTCGCGTTGAAGAGTAAACCTGAGGTGCACTTGCGGAGGCTCGCCTGGCCCCGCCAACACTTGATGAACTTGGAGCAGTCCTGTGTGGACCGTTATTAGTATCATATTAAGCATGTGAGGGTTTACAGCGCCTGGGGAATGACAGCCAGATTTGATTCAGTTCCTTAAATTAGGCGCTCTTCACCACATCGTGGATCTAAGTAAAGTGGCCGGGGATCAAGTGGGAATTATGATGTGCAAGTAATGGCGGAATGATCACTGACCTGAAGCAATAAATAATTATATTCTTATCACAAATAATTATACTCTGTTACCTGCTCCCATAAATCTGGGCCCATTCTCTGCCATGTCTCCTTCCCCTTCCTTCCTATACATACCTTTATATAAGGAAATTGTCCGTCAGGTCGCGGACAGAGAATATCCGCCTCTTTGCCCTGGAGTTGTTTCTGACGCTTCTTGCTTCTCGTCTTGTCAAAAGATGCTTTCACCTGTGCACGAAGAGCACTTAAAAATTAATTTGCATTATTATGTACATTGTATATTATTGCTTATATAGGTTTCTAACGTGACTGTTCATTTGTTTATTATTCAGATGATCTCTACATGCAGTCTGGTCCTGTGTACTGCTCATTCCTGCCCGCAGCGCATTATAAGTACGTATCTTTCTTTTTTTCAGCCAAGAGAATAAACCCCAGATCCTGACGCGAATCTAGTACTTAGTTAAGGCTTATATTATTGACGGTATACAATACCAACAAGTCTGTGGATAGGATACATGTGCAAGACTTGGGTACTTTTATTGCCGAAACGTTCCTCCTGCATAGCAGGCTTCTTCAGTGGAATATAGGCTAATAAAACACTGGAGACAATAGAAGTAGTTTAGACGTGATGACTCCATCCACTTTGTCTGACTTTTTTGGGTTATCATAGGTTCTCTACACATATACTGTTATGTATGATAATCTATGTAACTGTATTGCTGTATACCTGAGCAAACTTACTTATCACCCTATATAAAAGGCAGTCACTTTCATTCCTAACCCAGTGGGTTTAGCGCTTCTTTCTTATAATAATAATAATAATAATAATAATAATAATAATAATAATAATAATAATAATAATAATAATAATAATCTCAATCCTAAACCATAGGTATAAGGTCAGACGTTATATGCTAGAGCAAAAGTGAGATGAAGCAACTGGAGTTGACGTTAAAAGTGAGCGTGACCCACTACTGAAGGAAGTTGACTGAGGAAACCTCTCTGTGAGGGTTCCTAACTGCAAGTCTTTAATAACACTTCTATGTTCCTGGCACACTCTCCAGGTAAACAACAGAGATCTTTTTTCGGACAAGTAGCCTCTGATCCGCAGAAGTCATCCACCTACATCCATACTGGCAAGTTCATTAATGATCAGATGTCTGTTAACTCCAATACATGTAACTCTGACTCCACGTAATTGGATCTTTAAGGATCTCGTATGACCTGTACTGACCTTAGCCTTAATTTCCTTGGCGAAGTCGACGAGGCTTGCAGCCGCAGACTTGGCACCCTGTGTCAGCTGCTGCAATAAGAAAACAAGAGATATATGAACCACTACACGTGTGGTTGCCTGCGTGTGGTCATTGGTGTGGTGTGCAATGACATTCTGGTTACAACTGAAACATCATATACAGTAATTGCAAGCGCATCAGCTCAAGCTGGGTTCAGTAATGTATGTTGTGAGACAATTTCTCGCATTTCGAGAAATACGAGAAAAAAATAGGTACCTATTGCAGGCGTTGCCAAAAATAGTAGATGGTAGTATGCCTTGCATAAGACACGACTTTGAAATGAGACGAAGCAGAATGATACTTTCTAACCTTTAAGTACAAAATTAGTGCTTAATTATGACTATAATAATAATAATAATAATAATAATAATAATAATAATAATAATAATAATAATAATAATAATAATAATAATAATAATAATAATAATAATAATAATAATAATTACGTCAAGCCATGAAGCCTCTAAAATCTCAGTATTGAAGTGATCAGCCATGAGAGCAGCGACACAAACACAGATTTAAGACTATTCGATCCAGTTGTGAGTCCAGCAGAAGCACAACGCTGAGACCAAGGATTACTATAGATGTGAATCTTTTGTTTTTGAAGACACAGTGGACGAACTTGTGTGGTAGAACAAATTGAGCCGTATACTACTTCTTGAAGTACTGGCGACCCCTCACAGTACAATACACTTCTTGAAGTACTGGCGACCCCTCAGAGTACAATACACTTCTTGAAGTACTAGCGACCCCTCAGAGTACAATACACTTCTTGAAGTACTGGCGACCCCTCACAGTACAATACACTTCTTGAAGTACTGGCGACCCCTCAGAGTACAATACACTTCTTGAAGTACTGGCGACCCCTCAGAGTACAATACACTTCTTGAAGTACTAGCGACCCCTCAGAGTACAATACACTTCTTGAAGTACTGGCGACCCCTCAGAGTACAATACACTTCTTGAAGTACTGACGACCCCTCAGAGCACAATACACTTCTTGAAGTGTATTGTTTTGACATAAATGTTATGGGTTTAGCGTTTAATTATGATTATGGTTATACATGAATGGGTGACACTTGAGAGGATGTTGAAAGCGCATAGTTATGCACAGCATTTCGCCCGGTGCAAGGGTCTTCATATACTTCTCAAGCATTGCCTGAGAAACCGATTTCAATAACGTTTTCAAATCCGTTTTCGAGAACGGCTTTGAAGAAAAATCTGGTCTTACCGCGTCACGAAACCATTAATTAACAGCATACTCTCACGCCAAAATTGATATATGGAAAAATTTGTATCGTATTTTATTATATTTTGGTGATGTACCGTCTGAGGGTCATTCAGTGATAGGATTGGCTGAGATGCGATACTAAGTTCGATGATCGTGGCGCGGTGTCTGATCCGTCAAGCTGCTGGTGATGACAATTGTTAGCTGAGATAATAGCGACGTTGGTGCTGCAGGAAACAGATTGTAGGTGCAGTCAAATGCAGCACGAGAATGTTATGTTGTTGTGTTACTGCTACTCCTGTACTACTGCTCGATATTACTGCAACGTCCACTGTTATTATATAATTACTACTGCTACTACTACTACTAAAACTATTACTACTACTACCATCACCACCTGCAACAAAAATAGTCACCACTTCAACAAAGACAATAATACTTACATTACCAAGATTAGACAAGACAGCAGATCTAGCATGATACCCTTCGGTAGTTCCACGAGGTGTAGTCAGCCGGGGTGTAGTCGGCCGGGGTGTAGTCAGCCGGGGTGTAGTCAGCCGGGGTGTAGTCAGCCGGGGTGTTGTCGGCGGCGTTGTAGTCAGAGGGGGTGCAGTCCGCGGGGGTGGGGTTAGTCTGGGTGTGGCCCGTACGGGTGTTTCCCTATGGGATGTGGTCTGTAGGTCAGTGCCATGGGAAGGTGTCGGGCAGGTAACCGCTTGAGGCCAATCACAGATGCTTTTTTCCGCGTTGAACAATGTTCCCGCTGCACATGACTGCAAGTGTGGTCGTCCATCGCCACAGTTAATGAACTTTGAGCAGTCCTGTCAGTAATGGAAAAGAGGGTACTGAGTACATATGGCGAGAAAGGTGAATGATCTGCCACCAAAAACAGCTGGAATGGGATCAGACCTTGAAAAGCGATAGTGGCAGTGGTAGGGAAGAGACTAAATATCGAAGAAGGAACATGAAGGACCTACGGGTGGATATCACACTGAGAATATCGCCGGTCACTCGTCAACCGCATATCATCCGAAGCATATGAATGTGAGGCTGGTAAACATGAGGACTACTTCTAGGAACCTCAAAAGTATTTTAGGAGAAAGCGTACACAGAACTTATATGCGGCACCACCAGTGACCCTTTATCCCATTCAGCATACAGAGAAGCTTTTAAAATGTCCTGAGATTTTCAACACGATTAATTCCAGAAGTGAGAGAAATTCAACCAGACAAATTACATGGAATGAGAGTTAAAAAAAAAACAAGTGTATGGGCCACAGATGTTAGTAAGGACTTCTTCAGCGTCAGTGCTGCAGGAAGGTTGACTGAGCTGGAAACAAGAGATGGATGATGAAGCTCAATAGGGAAGATTTAGAGGTGAGGCCAGGAAGTGAGTCTCGACCCCTGCAAACAAAAATCTCTGAGGTCCCAGGCATAACGTCCCATTCCGTTAATGCAAACTACACAAACTGCTGTCCTTGATACATACAAACTGACTGACATTGAATCGAAATCACCTGTAATTCTTCAGATACAAGAGGAGCGCAATCCTCAGATAGATCTGAGCGGGTTTTAGGGCCAGCCCCCCTCAGGGGAGGTTCTTTGATGCTGGTAAGGGGCTCTTGATCTAGGGAACTGGATCTGTGCTCCAATTCCCTGAATAAAGCCTGAATACCTTCTGTCCCCCATAATAATAATAATAATAATAATAATAAAAATAATAATAATAATAATAATAAATTATAATAATAATAAAAATAATTATTATTATTATTATTATTATTTTTAATTCAGAGACAATCAAACAACAACTGCTATGGTCAATGTAAATGTTCAAAGTCATGAAACTTATACATGATGGAGGAAGACCACAGGAGCCGAGAGTGATAGAAGAAAAAAAACTGTAAATACTGACAAAATAAAGAGGTCATGAAGTGAACATCTCAACAATTATATCCTGGGAGGGAAACACCAACTGTATAACTCTAGGAGTACATACCAGGCTAGCGAATCTCAGATTTTTCTTCTAGAACCTCAAAAAGTAAATCCGTTACGTCTCTGTACCCAACGTAGGTCGGTCGTATTTTAGAATGCTCAGACAAGTCACAGAATTGAATTGTGTTCTGCGCTATAAGGAAGATTAAAAGAAAAAATCTAAAAACACCGAAAGAGACGAGGACCAGGGAAGAAGGAATCTGGGAGAATGATGAACATGAAAAGTGACTATCATGAAGTCAGAAGTATTATATACTAACACAGTGGAACAGTGAATTCATTAGACACTCATGCATATCCCCGGAACTACTACTATACCTGCAGATATGGGAATAAACCATTAAGATTAGGACAGGTCAGCACCCCAGGTACCACTTGACCTCGACCTCTTGAAGAATAACCTGGAGGCAGGCGTCGTACTGGAGTGCGACGTGCAGGCAAGGGTCGTACAACAGCGTGTGGTCTAAGCACATTGCGTGCTGGAATGAGCACTCCAGGAATTAATGATCCTAATGTATTGGGTGTTGGCTCATTAGAGCGGTGATTATATCCCACACCAGCTGCTGCTGTGTCGTCCTCTTGTCTCCACGAATGTCTTGCTTCTTCTTCCTCATCTCGGTTTTTATCTGGTATGAAGGAAAAGACAAAAAGTTATTTTATATATATATATATATATATATATATATATATATATATATATATTTATATATATATAGCCACTAGCCGTGGGATCGAACCCGTGTTGTTTTAGCCCTCCTAAGGGTGGGCGAAAATTCACGACGCTCTAATCCACTGGACCATACACTCCTACAAACAACGTGAGCCTCGCCAACTAGGCTTGCTTCAAGCTGCGAGAACATACGATGGTGTGGTTGCCTCAGAGCTAATTTCATTCTACTCCCCGTTTGGTGTACTAGGCTCCACAAGCAGAATATATAGTATTGTAACCACGAATAAGTGGTATTTAATTAATGTCCTGGCAACTTGATACAAGCCTAATTCGCTAGGCTCAGGTTGTTTGTAGGATTGTATGGTCCAGTGGGTTACAGCGTTGTGAATTTTCGCTCACCCTGAGGCTGGTTAAAACAACATGGGTTCGATCCCCTGGCTAGTCGCAGTGTTTTAATGATTAAATACCTCTGTTTGTTGATATATATATATATATTTTTATATATATATATATATATTATATATATATATATATATATATATATATATCACAGTATATAAACACTGATCTCTGGCTGAAGGAGACTCGAACCTACGAACCTTAGGACAAGGTACGCAGTGCTTTACCAATCTACCCACACTGGACAATACCTTGGGTGTAGCGTGCGCTACACTTTTTGCTCTTGCGAATTCCTCGCAGTGTTAAAATCTCTAGTAAGGCTGATGCATGCAGAGGATGAGATGAAAAGCTGTAAGCCTTCTCCCTGAAAGCTGGCTGCCATGGATCAAACGTGTAGCGCACGCTACACGCCAAGGTATTGTCCAGTGTGGGTAGATTGGTAAAGCACTGCGTACCTTGTCCTAAAGTTCGTAGGTTCGAGTCTCCTTCAGCCAGAGATCAGTGTTTGTGTATATTTCGCCTGCTCTTGCGAATTCCTTGTATATATATATATATATATATATATTATATATATATATATATATATATATATCAGTTCAAATTTTAAAAATATTACCAGGATTCGAGTCCACAGTATTCATATAATGGGTAGTCATTATTGTTGTGCCTTAGGTCTCTCTGCCAACGATCCCCCTGAGTATTACCCCTCCCCCTTTTTTGTTTACCATCCACCCGGGGACACTTGCACCACTTGCACGTGAACAACACCATCCATCATCCGTTATCGACCATCCTCCGTATAGCAACTCCCTCACATCGACTATATTAACACAAGCATCAGTCAGACACTCACGTCCAGCGGCTGGAGATGCACCTCGATTTCTCCCTCTGGGGTACACCCTTACTGGAGCCCGAGTAGTGCTGCTGGAGGTGTAGAATTCCCAAGGAGATTTGAGGTCGATCCTTTCCTTCACCTTATTAGAGCTGCTGGCGAAGTCTGGGTGGTAAATCTGAAGAAACAGGTGAAAGGTCTTCATATAATAATAATAATAATAATAATAATAATAATAATAATAATAAGAAGAAGAAGAAGAAGAAGAAGAAGAAAAATAAGAAGAAAAAAAGAAGAAGAAGAGAAGATAGAGCTCGCTAGAGTTGGTGTCACCGGGCAGCACTTGGGCAAAACAATAACTCAGATCACAACATAATTGAGGGTTTAGACAGTATGCGTGGAGCCCCAACGACATAATGAGACAGTCAAAGAGGAGCATTCACAAATCAACTTTAAAAACAAAAAATAAAGGGGAACCAAGTAAACCAAGTCTAACGATATAAGCTGAGAAGATATACTAAGAAAAACAGACCCCAACTTATGCAGAAAGATAACTGGTGGCACTCGATGTATGACAAGGCTAATCTCTAAGAAAAAGGAGGATAGATGTAAAATAGAAAAAAGACAGGCGCTCCTTTACAGGCGACGGAAAAGAATAACAGACGCAAAAGAGTCAATTATCTAAAGTGCGTAGGGAGACACTGTCAGAGAAACACAAGCATCGAAACCCAAAAATTTAAAGGAATCTTTAGAGTCAGAATCGCAGGAAAAAAACTATAAGCCATAAATGAAAATCGAAAAAAACCCAAAATATTTCTTCTGTTGCCAAATCAAAGTCGAGAACAACATCCAGTATGGGCCCCTACTTAAACAAGATGGGTCCTACACAGATGACAGCAAAGAAATGAGTGAGCTACTCAAGTCCAAATATGACTCAGTTTTTAGCAAGCCGCTAACCAGACTGAGAGTCGAAGATCAAAACGAATTTTTTATGAGAGAGCCACAAAATTTGGTTAACACAAGCCTATCCGATGTTATCCTGACGCCAAATGACTTCGAACAGGCGATAAATGACATGCCCATGCACTCTGCCCCAGGGCCAGACTCATGGAACTCCGTGTTCATCAAGAACTGCAAGAAGCCCCTATCACGAGCCTTTTCCATCCTATGGAGAGGGAGCATGGACACGGGGGTCGTTCCACAGTTACTAAAAACAACAGACATAGCCCCACTCCACAAATGGGGCAGTAAAGCAACAGCAAAGAACTACAGACCGATTGCACTAACATCCCATATCATAAAAATCTTTGAAAGGGTCCTAAGAAGCAAGATCACCACCCCTCTAGAAACCATCAGTTACACAACCCAGGGCAACATGGGTTTAGAACAGGTCGCTCCTGTCTGTCTCAACTATTGGATCACTACGACAAGGTCCTAAATGCACTAGAAGATAAAAAGAATGCAGATGTAATATATACAGACTTTGCAAAAACCTTCGACAAGTGTGACCATGGCGTAATAGCGCACAAAATGCGTGCTAAAGGAATAACAGGAAAAGTCGGTCGATGGATCTATAATTTCCTCACTAACAGAACACAGAGAGTAGTCGTCAACAGAGTAAAGTCCGAGGCAGCTAAGGTGAAAAGCTCTGTTCCACAAGGCACAGTACTCGCTCCCATCTTGTTCCTCATCCTCATATCCGACATAGACAAGGATGTCAGCCACAGCACCGTGTCTTCCTTTGCAGATGACACCCGAATCTACATGACAGTGTCTTCCATTGCAGACACTGCAAGGCTCCAGGCGGACATCAACCGAATCTTTCAGTGGGCTGCAGAAAACAATATGAAGTTCAACGATGAGAAATTTCAATTACTCAGATATGGTAAACACGAGGAAATTAAATCTTCATCAGAGTACAAAACAAATTCTGGCCACAAAATAGAGCGAAACACCAACGTCAAAGACCTGGGAGTGATCATGTCGGAGGATCTCACCTTCAAGGACCATAACATTGTATCAATCGCATCTGCTAGAAAAATGACAGGATGGATAATGAGAACCTTCAAAACTAGGGAGGCCAAGCCCATGATGACACTCTTCAGGTCACTTGTTCTATCTAGGCTGGAATATTGCTGCACACTAACAGCACCTTTCAAGGCAGGTGAAATTGCTGACCTAGAAAATGTACAGAGAACCTTCACAGCGCGCATAACGGAGATAAAACACCTCAATTACTGGGAGCGCTTGAGGTTCCTGAACCTGTATTCCCTGGAACGCAGGCGGGAGAGATACATGATTATATACACCTGGAAAATCCTAGAGGGACTAGTACCGAACTTGCACACGAAAATCACTCACTACGAAAGCAAAAGACTTGGCAGACGATGCAACACCTCCCCATTGAAAAGCAGGGGTGTCACTAGCACGTTAAGAGACCATACAATAAGTGTCAGGGGCCCGAGACTGTTCAACTGCCTCCCAGCATACATAAGGGGGATTCCCAACAGACCCCTGGCAGTCTTCAAGCTGGCACTGGACAAGCACCTAAAGTCGGTTCCTGACCAGCCGGGCTGTGGCTCGTACGTTGGTTTGCCTGCAGTCAGCAGCAACAGCCTGGTTGATCAGGCTCTGATCCACCAGGAGGCCTGATCACAGACCGGGCCGCGGGGGCGTTGACCCCCGGAACTCTCTCCAGGTAAACTCCAGGTCACCCCTATGAAATTCAAGGGCGGGGGGATGGGGGGGTAAACTCCAGTTACGTCACTACTGCATGACCAGTCATGTCACTACTGCATGACCAGTCATGTCACTACTGCATGACCAGTCATGTCACTACTGCATGACCAGTCATGTCACTACTGTATGACCAGTTACGTCACTACTGCATGACCAGTTATGTCACTACTGCATGACCAGTGACGTCACTAGTGCATGACCAGTGACGTCAGTACTGCATGACCAGTGACGTCACTACTACATGACCAGTGACGTCACTACTACATGACCAGTGACGTCACTACTACATGACCAGTGACGTCACTACTACATGACCAGTGACGTCACTACTACATGACCAGTGACGTCACTACTACATGACCAGTAACTAATGTTTAACAATAAGAACGTTTAAGGGCCATAAACTGAACAGGAGAATACTTCTCAACTTTATTAATGATAAAATAAATAATATTGAGGAAACATAAACTCAAATACCACTTTGAGTACATCAACAGATCCTACATTTATTCATCTTCATCAATGCATAAAAAAAAACTTGAAAAATAAAGAAAAACATTACAATATCAGAGAAACAATAGTTCCTATGTGACCTTGAGTACAGGTAACATCTCAGTGAAGCTGACCTTACATTTTCTTTCCTTCAGTTATGCAAAATCATCTATCACATCATCAAAATCAATGATTTTCCCCATTTAGGCTTATTTGTACTGTGTTAATATATAATAGGCTATATAGAAACGAAGGATTCTTCTCTTATGTTGGTGCAGCACTGTGTTGGACATTACTGTCGCCTTCTTTAGAGGCTCTGTGGTGTCACCCCCTAAGTGGTGTCACCCGGGGCGGCCCGCCCCCCTTACGACGCCTCTGGAAGAAGAAGAAGAAGAAGAAGAAGAAGAAGAAGAAGAAGAAGAAGAAGAAGAAGAAGAGGAAGAAAAAGAAGAAGAGAAAGAAGGGTTACCCTCGAGAAAAAGCCTTATCGCCCAAACAAGAGAAAATGAGAAATAACTGAATAACCGAAAATGTCAATTTACAGTTTCTGTACAGGAAAATGTGACGCTGAAATTGACAGCGCTGCATGACCCGTGTGGGTTTAGCGCTTAGTTATAATTATAATAATAATAATTTTGAAGTTTAGTAAGAGAAACTGTGACCATCAGGGTAATAGGGCTTAAAATTTCAGTCGCAGAAACGGGCAGTGCTCCTAAGTAACAGAAAAATAGGACTAAACTCCCTACTGGCAGAAAATTAAACTTGCTACCTAAGTAAACAGGAAAGCAGACTTATGTACCGAGTAACAGAAAACGGGACTTACCTTCCGAGTCACAGAAAACGGGACTTACCTTCCGAGTCACAGAAAAATAGAAATTATGAGGCCAAAGAACAGAAAATGGGACTTACCTCCAACTAATAAAAATTGAGACTTACCGATCGAGTTAGATGGGTGCAGAGTGCCAGCAGTAACAGCAACAGTAGTGCCAAGTGATGGATAAATGGACGCTTCATCTCTCTTAGTGACGTCCTGGATGCTGCAAGTGGAATTATGTGTACTCACCTATTTGTACTCACCTATTTGTGGTTGCAGGGGTCGAGTCCTAGCTCCTGGCCCCGCCTCTTCACCGGTTGCTACTAGACCCTCTCTCTCCCCGCTCCATGAGCTTTATCAAACCTCGTCTTAAAACTGTGTATGGTTCCTGCCTCCACTACGTCATTTTCTAGGCTATTCCACTGCCTTACAACCCTATGACTGAAGAAATACTTCCTACTATCTCTCTGACTCATTTGTGTCTTCAACTTCCAATTGTGGCCTCTTGTTTCTGTGTCCCCTCCCTGGAACATCCTGTCCTTGTCCACCTTGTCTATTCCACGCAGTATTTTATATGTCGTTATCATGTCTCCCCTGACCCTCCTGTCCTCCAGTGTCGTCAGGCCGATTTCCCTTAATCTTTCTTCATAGGACATTCCCCTTAGCTCTGGAACTAACCTTGTTGCAAACCTTTGTACTTTCTCTAGTTTCTTGACGTGCTTTATCAAGTGCGGGTTCCAAACAGGTGCTGCATACTCCAGTATGGGCCTGACATACACGGTGTACAGTGTCTTGAATGATTCCTTACTAAGGTGTCGGAATGCTGTTCTCAGGTTTGCCGGGCGCCCATATGCTGCAGCAGTTATCTGATTGATGTGTGCTTCCGGAGACATGCTCGGTGTTATACTCACCCCAAGATCTTTCTCCTTGAGTGAGGTTTGCAGTCTTTGGCCACCTAGCCTATACTCTGTCTGTGGTCTTCTGTGCCCTTCCCCTATCTTCATGACTTTGCATTTGGCAGGATTAAATTCGAGAAGCCATTTGCTGGACCAGGTGTCCCAGTCTGTCCAGGTCTCTTTGAAGTCCTGCCTGGTCCTCATCAGATTTAATTCTCCTCATTAACTTCACATCATCTGCAAACAGGGACACTTCTGAGTCTAACCTTCCGTCATGTCGTTCACATATACCAAAAAATAGCACTGGTCCTAGGACGTGTCCTAGGATGTGTGTGTGTGTGTGTGTGTGTGTGTGTGTGTGTGTGTGTGTGTGTGTGTGTGTGTGTGTGTGTGTGTGTGTGTGTGTGTGTGTTGTGTGTGAGTGTGTGTGTATATATATATATATATATATATATATATATAATATATATATATATATATATATATTTATATATATATATATATATATATATATATATATATATATATATATATCGCCCAAATTCCCAGAAATTTTCATGAGACATTTATTGACTGGTTAATAGGGTTTAACGCCTATCGGCTACACGAGAGTCAAGGCTGCACGTGACCTCTGCACCACCAAACAAGAATACTCTAATCCCTAAAACAGAGGTTACGTTAGGGTAGATAAGATTTGTCGGGAAACAGGACAAGAGTTTCCTGACGCGGGTCTTAAGTCATATGATTAACCGCTTCTGGTCATCTGACTGAGGCCTTCCGCTGGCTTACCCGTCCACTCCCTTTAAAAAAATAAGGTTATAATTGAAACCAATAGTTCTAGTACCCCTAAAACTGAGGCAAAAACTCTCGGCATATATACACTGGGAGAGACAATACAGTTCTCGCTTTTAATATCCTACGCACTTGTTCTAGACGTAATGATCAGCGTTGTATGACCCTTAAGGATTTAGCGCTTCCATATAATAATAATAATAATAATAATAATAAATAATAATAATAATAATTAATAACAATAATAAAATAATAATAATAATAATAAATAATAATAATAACAATAATAATAATATAATAATAATAATATAATAATAAAATAATAATAATAAAATAATAATAATAATAATAATAATAAAAATAACAATAATAATAATATAATAATAATAATAATAAAAATAATAATAAAATAAATAATAATAATAATAATAATAATAACAACAATAATAATAACAATAATAATATAATAATAATAATAAATAATAATAATAATAATAAAAATTTAATAAAATAATAATAATAATAATAATAAAAATAATAATATAATAATAACAATAATAATTAACAATAATAAAAAAATAATAATAATAATAAAAATTAATAATAATAATAATAAATAAATAATAATAATAAAATAATAATAATAATAATAATAATAATAATAATAATAATAATAATAATAATATAAACAATAATAATAACAATAATAAAAAATAATAATAATAAAATAAAATAATAATAATAATAATAATAATAATATAATAATAATAAATAATAACAATAATAATAATAACAATAAATAATAATAATAAATAATAAAATAATAATAATAATAATAATAATAATAATAATAAAAATTTAATAACAATAAAAATAACAATAATAATAATAATAATAATAATAATAATAATAATAATAATAATAATAATAATAATAATAATAACATATAAATAACAATAATAATAATAATATAATAATAATAATAATAATAATAATAATAAAATAATAATAATAACAAATTTTAATAATAATAATATAATTAATAAAAATAATAATAATAATAATAATAATAATAATCTAGCAGTAATGAGAGAGTTTACACTTATTTTCTTCATCTCATTTTTCTGAAATTATTTTATTGTTAGTCACATGTTCAAACTTTCTCACCTTTTTGTTCAGTTGGGAATTCAGCTTCAAGTTATTGTTG